TCCTGAGTATCTGGGACTCCAGGCATGCCACCATGCAGGGCTAATTTTTTAATTTTCTGTAGAGACCAGGTCTCACTATGTTGCCCAGGCAGGTCTTGAACTCCTGGCCCTGACCTCAAGCAGTCCTCCTGCCTCAACTTCCCAAAGTATTGGGATTACAGGCATGAGCCAGTGTGCCTGGCCATGCTTAAGTTTTCTATGCCTCATTTTCTTCACATGTATTATAAAATGGGATTAATAATAGTACCTACTTTATGGGATTGTTGTGAGGGTTAAATGAGATAATGTGTGCAAGGCAGTTTGAACAGTAAGTGCCTGAACTAATATAGTGACAGTAAATGCTAGCCGAGATAATAGCTTAGGGTACTTATAGCTAGTAAGTGGCAGAAACACAAAATAGTCATTCAAATCAATTTTGTAATTCATGATGGGGCTCACAATAGATGTTTAATAAGTTGATATAACAGTATCTGATTGCTTAGAATTTTATGTATTGCTGAGTTTCAAGCAAGTTTGAGACTTTAAGACATTCATGGCCGGGCGCGGTGGCTCACGCCTGTAATCCCAGCACTCTGGGAGGCCGAGGCAGGTGGATTGCTCTAGGTCAGGGGTTCGAAACCAGCCTGAGCAAGAGCGAGACCCCATCTCTACTATAAACAGAAAGAAATTAATTGGCCAACTAATATAATAAGAAAAAATTAGCGGGCATAGTGTGCATGCTTGTAGGCCAGCTACTCGGAGAGCTGAGGCAGGAGGATTGCTTGAGCCCAGGAGTTGAGGTTGCTGTGAGCTAGGCTGACGCCACGGCACTCACTCTAGCCTGGGCAACAAAGCAGACTCGTCTCAAAAAAAAAAAAAAAAGACATTCATGTGCATGAGTGTGTGACATGTGTACATATGTCAGTATGTGAATGTAATACATTTTTAACCTTTAGTTTTAAAATAATTGTAGGCTCATGGGAAGTTGCAAAAATAATACAGAGATTCTGTGTACACTTTACCTATTTTCCCCCAATCTTACTATCTTATGCAGCTGTAACACAATATTAAACTAGGAAATTGGCAGGGCATGATGTATCACACCTGTAATCCTAGCACTTTGGGAGGCCAAGGCAGGAAGATCACTTGAGGCCAGGAGTTCAAGACCAGCCTGAGCAATATAGCAAGACCCTATCTTAAAAAAAAAAAATGTAGCTGGGCATGGTGATGTGTACCTTTGGTCCTAACTACTTTGGCGAGACCCTGTCTCTAAATAAATAAATAAACAAATGTGTAAAGAATTAATAAACTATCATAGCACTGCGAGCTAATGTAAATGTTCTGAGCATGTCTAAGGAAGGCTAGGCTAAGATATATTAAATGAATTTTTAACTTAGGATATTTTTAACTTACGATGGGTTTGTCAGGATGTAAGTTGAGGAGCATCTGTAGTTTGAAGTTTGTGGCTTGCTTTAGAACCCAGAATATGGTCAATTTTGGAAAAGATTCAGTGTCCAGTCATTGTTGGGTGCCATGATTATAAATATGTCATTTAAGTCAGATTTGTAATTGGGTTGTTTAGATTTTTTTAATTCTTACAGAATTTTTCTCACTCTCAGTCACCTATTGAAGGAAGTGTATCACTCTGTGGATTTATATGTATTTTCCTTCCCTTTTTTGAGACAGAGCCTCACTTTGTCGCCCAGGCTAGAGTGAGTGCCGTGGAGTCAGCCTAGCTCACAGCAACCTCAAACTCCTGGGCTCAAGCCGTCCTCCTGCCTCAGCCTCCCAAGTAGCTGGGACTACAGATGCTCGCCACCACGCCTGGCTAATTCTTTAGTTCCTTTTAGCTCAGGTTTGCTGCTGATGAATTTTCTTCTGTTTTTGTCTATCTAAAAATATCTTTGCCTTCATTGGTAAAGAATATTTTAACTGGCTAGAGAATTATAGGTTGGCAGTTATTTTCTCTTAGTTTTTAAAATTAGTCATGTCATTGTTACCTGGTTTTTTGAAGTCAGCTCTGAATGTTATTGTTGCTTCCCTGAAGGTAATGTGTCTCTTTTTTACACTGCCTTTAAGATGTTTTTCTTTGGTTTTCAACAATTTAAGATAGGCCTAGGTGTGTTTTTCTTATATTTATCCTTCTTGGGGTTTGAAGAGTTTCTCAGATCTGTGGGTAGTTGTCTTTAATCACTTTTGGAAAATCCTCAGTTATCATCTTTACATTATATATTGCCTCTGCTCCATTTTCACTCGTCTCCTTTTGAGATTGCATATATCAGGCCTTTTCATGGGTTTTTACATGCCTTGTAGACACTTTTCTATATTTTTTTGTTATTTTTTTGGTCTGTGAACTGCTTTTTGTTTGAATATTTTCTATTGCCTTGTTTTCTCTTTTGCCATTCCTATCTTTTGATATATCGAAAGTTCTTAGTTTCATTAATTACATATTTTAATTATAGAGTTTCTATTTGATTCTTATAATAGATTTTGATTTTTTGATGAAATTTTTTTTTTTTTTGAGACAGAGTCTCACTTGTTGCCCAGGCTATAGTGAGTGCTGTGGCATCAGCCTAGCTCACAGCAACCTCAAACTCCTGGGCTCAAGTAATCCTTCTGCCTCAGCCTCCCGAGTAGCTGGGACTACAGGCATGCGCCACCATGCCCGCTAATTTTTTTATATATATCTAAGTTGGCCAATTAATTTCTTTCTATTTAGTAGAGACGGGGTTCGCTCTTGCTCAGGCTGGTTTTGAACTCCTGACCTTGAGCAATCCGCCCGCCTCGGCCTCCCAAGAGCTATGATTACAGGCTTGAGCCACAGCGCCGCCCAGATTTTGATTTTTTGATGAAAATTTTTTTTTTTTTTTTTTGAGACAGAGCCTCACTTGTTGCCCAGGCTATAGTGAGTGCCGTGGCTCAGCCTAGCTCACAGCAACTCAAACTCCTGGGCTCAAGTAACCTTCTGCTCAGCCTCCCGGTAGCTGGGACTACAGGCATGCACCACCATGTCCAGCTAATTTTTTCTATATATATTAGTTGGCCAATTAATTAATTTCTATTATAGTAGAGACAGGGTCTCACTCTTGCTTCAGACTGGTTGAATCCTGACCTCGAGCAATCCGCCCGCCTCGGCCTCCCAAAGTGCTAGGATTACAGGCGTGAGCCACCACGCCTGGCTGCCCAGTAATTTTTAACTGAGTGCTAGACATTATAAAATATTGATGAAATTCCAGATGATGTTATATGACTGCAGAAAAGGTTCATACATTTTTGGGAGCTTAGCAGATAATTGGGGGCAGATTACTTTAATTCAGTCAGGGACTAAGCTGAGTTGAGGCTGAGTTGCAATGTTGGTAGGTCTCACTCCCTCTGATTAGTCTGCTTCTAGGGTATAGTCATTCAGGACTGAATGACTGCTGAAAGTCTTATATGTTCAGTTCCTCTTCAGGGCTTGAACTGTTATTCACATCTCCTCAGACTGATAAGACTGCCAAAATCTCACTCTACTTTTCAGAGACTTTCTGCTTAGCTTCTTAGCCTCTTTCCCTGTGTAGCTTCAGAATTTTAAAATATCCTGAAGGGAAAACTGGCTCTGTGTCAGGCTTAAATCCTTCACACTTCCCCTTCTCACTTAGATCTTGTTCTCTTTTGATTTCCAATTTTGTTTCTGTAGCCTCCCAAGACCACCTAAAGCTCTGCTGATTTCTCAGTTGTCTAGCACCAGCCTAGGCAAAGCTCAATTCTCCACCTCTTCCTGTATTCCCTGATCAGCCAGTGCTTCCTTGGAGAAGTGGCTGTGTTTACCGGGCCTCATGTCTTTTCTTCCCTGCTTTTTGGATTTTTGGTCCTTCTCATTCTTTTGCTTTAGCAGTTCCCTATTAGCTTTAAATAGATAACTTAAAACTTTTTGTCTCTTTAAGTTCTTGATGGAAACATTGGTTTACTACAAAGTTCTCCATCATACTTGGAAGTGATAGTCATGTTTAATTTGTTATATATCAGTTGTTACATCTTTATAGTTAACTTCTTTGACATCAGTTTCTTTTACTCTTGATTTTTTTTTGTTGCATTATATATAGGAGGCCTCTGGAAAATATTATACCTCAATGTAGAAATAAATCGATTAGAAAGGCCTGGTGAGACTTTCTATAACCAGTTCAAGTTCAGCAGTGACTTAAACTATCATATAAACAAGTAGAAAAAATATTCGGTAGTCAAAAGCCCAGGTGCACATTTCTTGGGATATTTTATGTATTCCTGTTATTATAATGATTACTATGGTTTTATGTTTAGAGCCACTATTTTTATTTCCTTAATATTATTAATAGCTTACAGTGTTAGCTCTGTATATTTCATGTGATTTCAGAGTTTAAAAAACTGTTTAGAAAGTTTTTTAAAATGTAAAAAGAACAAGAAGATTTGAGCCAAAGGTGAGAGACCCTTCTCTACTTCTCACTCCTCAAATAACTGCGGTGTATTATTACTGTGTACTACTGTGTTAGTGTGTATTACTACGCAATAATACTTTTCTTCTTCTCTCTCCTTTCTACCTTTTACTTGTCATCTCTTTCCTGTTGATATTTGTTAACTGAAGAAAATGTAGATATTGAAATACATAAAAGGAAGAAAACTAAAATCTCTTGTAATCCTACCACCAATCCCTAATCATGCTTTTGAACATTTGGTATACATCTTCTGAGGATTTTTTTGTGTAAAAATGGATCATATTGTTAGTGCTTCTCAGCCCTTACTCTTCAGTAATATCGTCTGTAACACCTAATATATATATATATATATATATATTCTGGGATACACCTCACATTTAACTAAATCAGAATCTTCAGGCATAGGGCTAAGAGGGGTTTACTTAAAAAAAAAACCAAAAAACCTCTCCTTCAGAAATGTTTAGTAGTCCTCAGAAATTATTTTAAATGAAAAAAATGAATGTTGCAATTTTACAGGAAGCTTAACTTGTATACAATGTTTTATCTAATTATTCACTTTCAACTTTTTCCTAGCCATTCCACCCTATGGTGAATCTGGATTGTTCTCGGGATTTCCGGCCATTTCTTTGTGCGCTCTATGCTCCTATTTGTATGGAATATGGGTGTCACACTTCCCTGTCGTAGGCTGTGTCAGCGGCGGGCTTACAGCGAGTGTTCAAAGCTCATGGAGATGTTTGGTGTTCCTTGGCCTGAAGATATGGAATGCAGTAGGTGCGAAAATTATATATTTTCATGGATCATTTCTTATGTTGCAGTTTGTTTTAAATTACTTGTCTTCTATTTCATCTGTTTTAAAAACTTTTGGGGCCAGGTGTGGTGGCTAACACATGTAATCCTAGCACTCTGGGATGCTGAGGTGGGCGGATAGTTTGAGCTCAGGAGTTCGAGACCAGCCTGAGCAAGAGTGAGACCCTGTCTCTACTAAAAATAGAAAGAAATTACTTCGCCAGCTAAAAATATGTACACAAATTTAGCCGGGCATGGTGGTGCATGCCTGTAGTCCAGCTACTCAGGAGGCTGAAGCAGAAGGATCACTGAGCCCAGGAGTTTGAGTTGTGTGAGCTAGACTGACCCACGGCACTCACTCTAGCCTGGGCAACAAAGTCAGACTCTGTCTCAAAAAAAAAAAAGTTGATTTGTTTGTTAGACATTCTTATGGTTTTATATTAGTGAGCATTATAAGTAGTAATAATATACTATATTATATAATTACTCTTTTGTATTCTGAAATATTTCAAGGGTAAAGAATAATAAGGTAACTACTTACGCACCTTTTATTATCTGGCTTTATCCAAGCTTAACATTTTGTAATATTGGCTTCAGGTTTTGTTTTAAGAAATAAAACACTATAGAGTGGAAGGTTCTTCCTTGTTACCCATCTTGATCTGATTTCCTTCTTTCTTTACGAAGAATGAGGTAATCATTGTGTTGAATTTGTTGTTAATCATTCCCATGTTTGTTTATATCAGTAAAAACATAATTTTTTTTTTTTTTTTTTTTTTTTTTTTTGAGACAGAGTCTGGCTCTGTTTCCCGGGCTAGAGTGCCATGGCATCAGCCTACCTCACAGCAACCTTAAACTCCTAGGCTCAAGCAATCCTTCTGCCTCAGCCTCCCGAGTGGCTGGGACTACAGGCATGCGCCACCATGCCCGGCTAATTTTATATATATATATTTAGTTTGTCCAGATAATTTCTTTCTATTTTTAGTAGAGACCAGATCTCGCTCTTGCCCAGGCTGGTCTTGAACTCCTGACCTTGAGTGATCCTCCCACCTCAGCCTCCCACAGTACTAGGATTACAGATGTGAGCCACCATGCCCGGCCAAAACATAATTTTTTTTTTACATGTATTTATGTTTATGTCTGTAAGTCTGGTTCATTCCTTTTCATTGCTATGTAATAGCCAATTGTATTAGTATCCGGTAGTTATTTAGCTATCTTCTACTGATGGTCATTTAGGTTGTTTCCAGAGTTTGTTTGTTTGTTTTTTATTATTCATATAAGCATTATTATTTTTTTAAATTTATTTATTTTTAAATTTTTAATAGATTTAGGGGGTACAAGTTGAATTCCATTACATATATATATTGTATAGTGGTGGGGTCTGGGTTTTTGGTGTACCTGTTACCTGAGTAGTGTACATAGTACCTCACAGGTAATTTTTCATCCCTTACTTCTTCCCACCTTTCCCCCTTTGAGTCTCCAGGGACCTTTTTTTTTTTTGGAGACAGAGTCTCACTCTGTTGCCTGGCTAGAGTGCCGTGGTGTCAGTCTAGCTCACAGCAACCTCAAACTCCTGGGTTCAAGCTCTATGCTCCCAAGTAACTGAGACTACAGGCATGTGCCACCATGCCCGGCTAATTTTTTCTATATATATTAGTTGTTCAGCTAATTTTTTTCTATTTTTAGTAGAGACGGGGTCTCACTCTTGCTCAGGCTGGTTTCAAACTCCTGACCTTGAGTGATTCGCCCACCTCGGCCTCCCAGAGTGCTAGGATTATATACGTGAGCCACTGCGTCTGGCCGAGTACCTATATATTTTCATACTTTGGAATCTTACTCTAAGCTGTGTCCTAAATAAATACTCTGTATATACTGCTATGCTTGACTTTGTTGTTGTTGTTGTTTGAGATGGAAGTCTCTGTGGCCCTGGCTGGAGTGCATTGTTATGATCATGGCTCATTGCAGCCTCAAACTCCCAGGCTCATATGCTTGACTGTTTTAATAAAGAGTGCTATTTTTGAAAGGAAACCATATCATTTTTTGACAATTATGGAAAAATCTAGTTGTATGGCTCACAAGATACCACCATTTATTTTATTTCTACTTATTGCAGTCCCCCACCGCCACCAAGGATTTAGGAATAAATAAGGTCATGGTTGCTAAATTTGGAAATCCAAATTGTTAGGTATCAGTAGATTTCCCCATAAGTAAAAATGATTCTCACCTTATGTGGTTTCTTTTTTTTTTTTTTTTTTTTTTTAGGTTCCCAGATTGTGATGAGCCGTATCCTCGACTCGTGGATCTGAACTTAGCTGGAGATCCAACTGAAGGAGCTCCAGTGGCAGTGCAGAGGGACTATGGTTTTTGGTGTCCCCGAGAGTTGAAAATTGATCCTGATCTTGGTTATTCCTTTTTGCACGTGCGTGATTGTTCACCGCCTTGCCCAAATATGTACTTTAGGAGAGAAGAACTGTCATTTGCTCGCTATTTCATAGGATTGATTTCAATCATTTGCCTCTCTGCCACGTTGTTTACTTTTTTAACTTTTTTGATAGATGTCACAAGATTCCGTTATCCTGAAAGGCCTATTATATTTTATGCAGTCTGCTACATGATGGTATCATTAATTTTCTTTATTGGCTTTTTGCTTGAGGATCGAGTAGCCTGCAATGCATCTAGCCCTGCGCAGTATAAGGCTTCCACAGTGACACAAGGATCTCATAATAAAGCCTGTACCATGCTTTTTATGGTACTCTATTTTTTCACTATGGCTGGCAGTGTATGGTGGGTAATTCTCACCATCACATGGTTCTTAGCAGCTGTGCCAAAGTGGGGTAGTGAAGCTATTGAGAAGAAGGCATTGCTATTTCATGCCAGTGCATGGGGCATCCCCGGAACTCTAACTATCATCCTTCTGGCGATGAATAAAATTGAAGGTGACAATATTAGTGGCGTGTGTTTTGTTGGGCTCTACGATGTTGATGCATTGAGATATTTTGTTCTTGCTCCCCTCTGCCTATATGTGGTAGTCGGGGTTTCTCTGCTCTTAGCTGGCATTATATCCCTAAACAGAGTTCGAATTGAAATTCCATTAGAAAAGGAGAATCAAGATAAATTAGTGAAGTTTATGATCCGGATTGGTGTTTTCAGCATTCTTTATCTTGTACCACTCTTGGTTGTAATTGGATGCTACTTTTATGAGCAAGCTTACCGTGGCATCTGGGAAACAACGTGGATACAAGAGCGCTGCAGAGAATATCATATTCCATGTCCATATCAGGTAAGGAAAACCTTGTTATAAATTTTGGAATGTAGGGTAGTAAAATGAAAGCATATTATAAAGAACTATTCTTAGCTATTTTTTTAAAAAACTTCATGAACCTTAAACCTGTATATTAAAAATTTAAAGGGAAGATGATTACGAATACATTGTAGTAAATATGCAATGCACATATTTATATAGACATCTTCATTTTAAAAGATGACTTATAAGTCTAAGCTATGAGCTTTTAAGCAGTTTACTTCTTTACACAAAAGTATTTGCATATGGATTTTTTTTTTTAAGAAGTCTACAGGTTTGTGGGGGATAAGCACTTTACCAACTCTAATAAAAAGGTGCTATCTTTTTGTGGGAATTTTACTGATTTTCATATTAGGAATTAATTGTTTTAACAGTTTTGCAAAACTGATAGAATACACTTATACAAATATACAAACTCTTAATGGTCTGGTTTTTCTTCTTTGGGTACTGGATATTTTGTGACTTACCTTTGAGTTTAAAGAGTTTAGAGCCTTTGTCCTAGAATCATAGGATTTTAGATCTAGAAAGAACTTTAGAGATCATTTACTCAGGTTCCCTCTATAATTTAGAGTTTTTAAACATCTAATACCTCATTTGAAGCTTTGAAATGTTAAGTAACTTGCCCATGCTTAATAAATGACCAGCTGGGTCTGAGTCTTAGATGAAGAATATAGTCAAGGAAAGTAGTTCAGAGGTGTTGATGCTAAGTATTTCTCTCTCCCATCTCCCATAGGAGGATCTCCCATTCTCCTATGCCCCTAGAGATTACCCTCCTTTCTTCCATTTGAAACAAATTTTCTTGTAAGAGCACTCTGACTTGGTGCCTCCTATTCATCATGTCCTAGGTTTCCCATTCTGAGTGTGCCAGCCACCTTTCCGTTTTCCCCAACCCATATGTTACTCTAACACCTTTTAAATACCTTTAAGTACTTATGTATTATAGATAACTTCTGTTATCTGTCTAATCACTTTCCCCTAGACAGTGAACTCTTTGAAAACAAGAACTTTATTTTTTGAATACATATCTATACGTCAGTAGATGATAGCAATGAGAATGTAAGTGTATAGATTGAGAAGAAGGGACATTTTTAAGAACTGGTAACAGTGTTACTGGGAACAAGGAGTATGGGGTTAGCCAGGTAGTAAATGCTCATATAAAAAACTGAGAATGCCAATTTCTCTTTTACTTTGTGGTGTAAGTTCATTTTAACTGCAGTAGAGTATGTTACTATATAAATATACTGCAGTTTATTCACTCTTCCTTCTGTTGATGGACATATAGTTCCCCGTTGTATTGTTATTATAAACCGTTTTGCAGTGAAGCTTCTTGTAATATCTTCATTCCTTGTATATGAACAAAAATTTCCATGGGTTGTATACCAAGAAGTGGAATTTTGGCATTGTAGGATACAACCATCTTCAATGCAAGTGGTTATTTTAATTTATGATCATGTCAGAGTATGAGTTTCCCATTTCTCCTCATCTTGATGCTTTTAAGTTTTTGCCAGCTTTTGAAATAGTTATCTCAATTCTGTAGTGGTTTACAATTCTCTTATTACTAGAAAGGTTGAGCTTTTTTTCTTTTGTTTATTGAGGTTTCTCTTGTGTTACCTTTGTCCATTACTCTGTTAGGTTATTTGCTTTTTGTTGTCTAAATATTATTAGTATTAATTCTTTGTCAGTCATTTGCATAACAGATCATAGCTTGTCTTTTTACTTATTAGTGCTTTCATTCGTGTTTGAAGATATTCTTCCTTGCCTCTGAAGTCATAAAAAATGGTCTGCTGTATTTTTTTCTAGCAGTTTCTACAATTTGATTTTTTGATTCACACTGATAATCCCTTGAAATTTATTTTTGTCAATATCGTATGGAACAATTTTATTTTTCCGTATGGATAAGCAGTGTGCTTTCTGCATCATTTATCAGATAGTCCATCCAAATTTTAATGTAGCCTCTGCATGTACAAGTTTTATTCTTAGGCCCTCTCATTCATATAACCATGTGTCAATTCCACATGTCATCTGCCTGTTCTTTTTCAAAATTATTTTAGCTGTTCTTGGTACTTTGCTCCTCTATGTGAATTTTAGAATCAATTTTTCATGAAAAACACTGTCAGGATTTTTATAGAATTTTTTTTTCAATTTATAAATGAATCTGGGGAAAATTGTTATTTTTGCAAAACTAATTTTAATATTTTCTTATTTGTTTAATACTTTTCTTCATTTGTTCCTAGATACCTTAGTTTTTGTTACAATTGTGAATGAGATCTTTTCTGCATTACATTTTTTTAATTGGTTATGGCTGGTGTACAAAAAATGCCATTGATTGATTTTGTATTTTGATCTTATATCAAACATCCCTGCTGAACTCATTTATTAGCTCTGTGTATAGATTCTCTTAGATAATCTTTGTAGAAATCCTACTGTCTGCAAATCAGGACAGATTTGTTTCTTGCTTACTTTCCAATTCTTACATCTCATGTGAGAGCTGTCTGCTCTTTGAAAGGATTTGCACATTTTCCTGTAAAACGCTGTCTTCATATCTTTGAAGTAAGAGAAGTTGTGTAAGATACTAGGTTTTTAAAAATTATTTAAATTTCTTTAATAGTAATGGTTTTATTCAGGTCTGTTATTCTTGAGGCATTTTGGATAATTTATATTTTTCTACAAAATTATTTCATCTAACTTTTCAAATACATTGGCATAGGTTCATTTTTTAAAAGTTCTTAGGCTGGGCATGATGGCTAGGCTGTGAGCTAGGCTGATGGCATTGCACTCTAGCCTGGGGAACAGAGCAAGACTGGGAAAAAAAATCTAGTAAAACAAAGTAATTCTAAAGAAAGCAATAGGCATGAAATAAGACCAGAAATAATTGATGAAAAAGATAATCCTTTAGCAAGATTGATCAAGGGGAAGAAAGATATACATTAGAAGCAAAAAAGGAAACACTAAAACCTTTTTTGTTTTTTTTTTTTTTTTTGAGACCAAATCTTACCAGGCTAGAGTGTCGTGGCATCAGCCTAGCTCACAGCAACCTCAAACTCCTGGGCTCAAGTGATCCTCCTTCCTCAGCCTCCTGAGTAGCTGGGACTACAGGCATGTGCCACCATGCCTGGCTAATTTTTGTTTGTTTTCCCATTTTAGTTGCCTGGCTATTCTTCTATTTTTAATAGAGGATGTCTCATCTTGCTTAGGCTGTCTTGGACTCCTGAGTTCAAGCATCCTCCCACCTCTGCTTCCCAGAGTGCTAGGATTACAGGTGTGGCCACTGTGCCCAGCCTTAGATTTTTGAATTGAAAGATTAACTGTGTTTTGCCAGTACTTCCTAATTTTTAAATGCAGTTAATAGTTACTTTAAATTTAACCAGAAGACCATTACTAATCAAGTTGGTCACACAGACTGTCTCCTAAACTTAGCTGCAAGCAACTTCATTATTATTATCTTTTTTTTTTTTTTGAGAACTTTTTATTAATTCAAGTTGGAGAATCTCTGGCCTTTTTTCTCAGAGAAGTTTTCCCAAAGTCGATGGAAGAAGATGTTTTTCACTCTTACACCTCATGGGTTAATAACACTCAGATATATGCACTTTTAAAATTTCCTCTTAGTGTGTATTTTTTTCTCAGAATTAGTATTATTCTCTCAGATAATAGTTTAGAGGCTGTTCTGGAAGATAGTTTTATCTTTATGTGAGTTCCATAAATTCTTTTGTGACTCTTCAGCTTTCCAATCTTGTTTGAGTAAATAGATGTTGGGTTAAACCTGACTTGTTCAAAAAAGTTGAAGTGCTTATATGTGAGCTCTTGACTGGGCGTGGTGGTTCACACCTATAATCCCAGTACTTTGGGAGGCTGAGGTGGGAACTGTCTTGAGCCCAGGAATTTGTAGCCCAGGCTACAGTGAGCTGTGATCACACCACTGTAATCTAGCCTGGGCAACAGAGCAAGACCCTATCTCTTAAAAAAAAAAAAAAAGAAAGAAAGAAAGAAAAAATGAACTCTTATTTATACAGATTTTGTTGTGGGCAAAATCCGTGCTCTTAGCTGATAGCCATAACAACCTGATGAAATAAATAGTATGGCTTTATTCTTGTCATTCTAAAGCATTTAAAGCAGAAAGAAGTAATGTGACTACCATTTTAACCTTTTTTTTTTTTAAAGACATGGTCTTACTCTGTTGTCCAGGCTGGAGTGCAGTGGCATGATCATAGTTCACTGCAGCCTTGAACTCCTGGGCTCCAGCAATCCTCCTGCCTCAGTCTTCTCCCAAGTAGCTGAGACAGCAGGTGCATGCCACCACTCCGAGCTAATTTTTTTTAAGAGACAGGATCTTGCCATATTGGCCAGGATGGTCCGAACTCTTGGCCTCAAGCGATCCTCCCACCACGGCTTCCCAAAGTGCTGGAATTATAGGCATGAGCCACCTCTGTCAGCCAAAATTTTTATTTTGAAGTAAGGTCCACACGTAATTGAATAAGATTTGCTTATCACTGAGCATGCCTATAGTAGAATTTGGTAATTCCTAATGAGTAGTCCTTAAAATGTATTAAGCAATAATGGAGTATCCTCAGGTGACTTAAGAAGAGAAAATAATATTTGAATATGTCTGCTTAAAAATAGGTTGCCTTATAGTCATCTCTCATACTAGGGAAGTTTTCAGATATTTGAAAAATCAGTTTATGAAGTAGTTTATCATATTGTTTCAAAATACCAGTTGGGTTTCATGCAAATCATGTGAATGTAAATTCATAATTTGAAGAAAAATGGGCTAGATGTAAAGTATTTTAAAAGTCTTTAAAATGAATTTCTGCTGATAACCATTCACTGCCTAGATTTTTTTTCTATTTTTAAAATTTAAAATTTCAGAACAGCTTTAGATTTACAGAAAAATTGTGAAGATTACAGGGAGTTCCCGCAGACTTTGCACCCAGGTTTCGCCTATTATGTAAATTATTGTACATAGTAATAACGTTATGAAATAA